CCATTGAATCCCCGGTTTCTTTTCAAGCCTTGAGAGACTTTTTTCCTTATTCTATGATGTATAAATTCACTCCCCAGGAAGAGGTCTTGATGGCACCATCCCACAGGGTTATGAATTATTCTAATTGCGGGTGGGGGGACTGCATTACGCCCCTTCCATGTGTTTCCATAATGTCACCTACAATCAGAATGAAGCCTGTGTGAGTAACACTGAAAACAGGATGCCTGTCCTGGTGATGGCCGACTCATCAGACAAACCAAAGGAGTATCTCAGAGGAGGTTACTGGGAGAAAGTGAGAAAAGTACTGTGAAAGGAAAATATCTTGGGCCCCAAATCACTAAGCTAAAAGGAAAAGTCAAGCTGGGAACTGCTTGGGCAAACCTGCCTCCCATTCTATTCAAAGTCTCCCCTCTGCTCACTGAGATAAATGCATATCTGATTGACTCCTTTGGAGAGGCTTATCAGAAACAAAAGAATGCAACCATTTGCCTCTCACCTACCGGTGATGTGGAAGCCCCCTCCCTACTTCGTCTTCCTGCCTTTGCTTCAAGTTGTCCCACCTTTCCAGAGAGAACCAATACTGACTGATGTCTCATGTCTCCCTAAAATGTATAAAACCAAGCCATGTCCCGACAACCTTGGGCATATGTCATCAGGACCTGAGGCTGTGTCACAGGTGTGTACCCTCAACCTTGGCAGAATCAACTTTCTACATTAACTGAGACCTGTCTCAGATTTTCTGGCTTTACCGTACCCAAGGACTTACCGCCAAAAGATGTAATATTCTTACAAATGGCCCTGGTCTGTCAATTCTTGGGAACCCCCTGGGGGAAGATTCTGGATTAAAATGGTTAGGTCTTTGTTTGCTTGCTGCTAGTTTTGGGGAGAAAGAGTTTTTCTTTTTTGTTTATTTCTGTCACCTCTTTCACTTGGGAATCTATTTTCACTGCTCTCCAAAGTTTTGAGAAGGTAATAGTTCTAGAAAATGGGTCCTGAGCTCCTCTCAGCAGTCCTGCTTCCTTTCCACCTGCACTGCAAGGTGACCCTAACTGGGTCTAAGACAAAAAGTAATTGACTTGTCTTTATTGGGAAAGGATTATTACTTAGTGATAAATCAAAGTATGTCTCTTTGATCCTTCTCACTCACCCTATCAGCTTGCTACCAGAGATAAAAAATAATAATAATAATAATAATTCACAAGCTATGATCTGGCCTTTTCTTCTCAGTGCATCAACTTCTGGCTAGGAGACTACAAGCAGGGAAGTAACTTCAAGGAAGCAGTAGGAGCCAGAATGAGGAGCTACAAAAGCAGCTAAACCATCCATCAAATAGACAAGCAGGTCCAGGAGAGCTGCCCAGAGGGCAAATTCTCACCATACCTGCACACTCCGCCCCGCCCCTGAGTTATCTTTTGCTAAAAGTTTCTCATTGTGTTCTGATCAAGAGGGCCCTTAGAATGGCCATCACCTCTCATGAATTCCCATCAAGCTGGCAAAAGTTGCCCATAGTGAGGAGAGCAGAGAAGTATCTGACCTGTGGGGATGCTGCTTAGGCTAAGGGGTGAGTTTTTGCATTAAAAACAAAACAGGTGGAGACTCATCTTGGGCTCAGAGCCACTGGCATTGTCACCACCTTGCCTGGCCTCCTGGCTCACTGAAGAAGCTCCTAATCCACCTCTAAGGTCTGCTGGTGTCCTTGAGCTCCTGAGTGTAGCAGATTTGGGGGAAAAAAAAATCAACAGGGAAAATGAAGTAGAAATGGGATAATTATTTTCTTGAACTAAAGGTTAATGGCTAAAATTTGCTAGTCATTATTACCTACACGAATGGAATGGAAAAGCATCTGGAGAAAAAACAATAGTGAAAATCCCCTTGTTCCTTTGTGATAATGCAAGGAGCTATGAGGAGGAGACCCTGCCAAGATTTTGGCTACAGGCTATTTGTTTAATACGAGTAAGAAGAGAAGAGGATGAATACAACCAAAATGAGGTTAAGGGACCATGTGGACATCATTAAGTATCGAGTTGGCAGGGGAAATAGCTAAATTAAATGCTTAGACTGAGAGGTTCTTGATGCTAATGTTGCTTTTAAGTGGTGTGGAAGTATTGAAAAACTATTTTCTACCAATAAATTGCTTTCTTCCATGTTGGGAAAACTCTCTCCCAGCGGCACCCACCCACACATTTCTTCCATTCCAAGCCAAAGGTTTTCTTTGCTAGAGGCAAAGGTACACCTTGCACAATTTCCTTCTAGGTTTGCAAACAGTCATGTCTGTATAAGAATCTCTTAGCACTACTCTAGTGGGGCTAGCCAAAACTGTGAGGTTGAGAATGTTCTTAAGGTTTTCCAAAAGTAACAAGGTTGCTATAGATTCAATTTCTGACCCCAGGAACTTGGCTTCCTTAAATCATTGGGCCTTGATTGTTCTTTTCAGGTTGAATCCCAATGATGGGTTAGGAAGACCTGGAAATGACGATGGCCAAATGGATTCCATCAAGGCAAATTTTAAGTTACAACTGTTTCAGAGTTCCTAAAATTAGGCTTGGCTACCGTATGGTACAACCGTGGTGAATGAAGAGAAGTCA